ACCAGCAACGGGGAGCAGAGAGACAGGCAGAAGTGTGAGAGACAGCAGCTGGAACGGCAGACAACAGCTCCATCTACAGATAGGTCATCGGGACAGTGTTGCTGATGTTTGACTCACTTTCCAATTCTCATCGTTTTAGAAATCAGCAGCAATAAGAAGCTTTTTTAGGCAAAGATGTGAAACGTTTTCAGCTTTTGGAGTTGTCGGTTTCTGCTGCTGCAGCTAGAATCTGAGCTGCTGAAGACAGTTGAACCACCTGACAATTGAGTTCCCTCAAGCCACATTTTTATATTTAAATTGTGTTTGTGCAACACTTTTGTCTGACTATTTTGGTTCTCAGATCTGTTTCTCCCAGTCTTCACTTTTGAACGTGTAAAAAAAAACTTGTTTCTTAAAATTGGTTGCTGCTGGTGTCACACTTTAAAGCAGGAAATCCCTGATTTACATTACTATACATTTCTCTTATGTATAAGAAAATATTGGAAATAATCAAATAGATAGATTATTTTACAAAATCTGTAAAACATTTGGTAACGCTTCCTTTTACAGTCCCCTAATTACTAAGTACTTACATGGTAATTACATAGTAAGTTAACGTGTATCATTGTGTAATTAAAGTGTTTAATTGTAATAAAGTGTAATTATTGTTTAAAGCAGTATTTTTGGAAATGATTAATAAAAAATAAAAACTAGAATTAAACCTGAGTTTCATGGTAACAACTGTTTAAGAACTCAGAAACAATAACACACTTTCATTTAATATGTAGTTACCATGTAAGTACTAAGTAATTAGGGGGCTGTAAAAGGAAGCGTCACCAAACATTTTTTAGAACTCAAACAACACATTTTTGGTGGTTCTTCGTTATACACGAGTAAGAGGAGCTTGGTTTTTCCTTAGCTGACGTGTTTCAACGTCTACGTCCATCGGCGATGGCGCTGACGAAGGCGGATTAGAAAATAGCTCTTTTAGCCCCATTGAATTCCGTTCTTTTTTTTTCGGGGATCCATGAACTGACCGGAAAGGGAGGAGACTCCCTATTAGGGACGAGATGTCCAAATATCAGGAAATAAGAGTCGAAATCCTGTCTTCTGAAGCTGATTTTTCCCCCACAGAGAACGACGAAGGCATTCATTCATACTACACACCAATGCAAATGTGTTACAACAATACGAGTTAAGTTGATTTTTAATAAAGAACAACTTAAGTGAAGTATGATCATAAAAAATGATTAATTTCAATAATTTTTATGTTTCCATTTTGCTGAAATTGTATTTCAGTCAACCTAAAATGTGTACGATAAACAATATTAATAAACTGCAATTGAACTAATGCACTAGTAGAGTTTGATAACACATTTATTTTCTGAAAACTTTTTCACTTTCAGAACTCCATTATTTTGTGGCAATTGACTGCCTCGATATTTTTTGAGTTCTGGTAACTCATTCAGGTTTACAGTGTAGAGCAAACCTAATGAAATATAATGTTGCTTCTTTGTGCTGCAGTTTTAAAGGGTTTCGTAAAAGTGCATTTTGTCTTTTTCTTCGCTCACCACAACGTCCATTAAAAACCAACTCTGCAGCGACCTTCAAATCATTGCAAACGTGACCCCACGTGTCCCCTTCGCTGCATATGAAGTGACTCAAAGATCAACAAACCATCAGGTTGACAGGCCTAACCTATCTGCCATTAGCCCGTTGAGATATCACACTTTGCTTTAATTCACCGTCTTTCAGAGTGTCACACTTTATATTCCCTGGCATGGGCAGGCTACATGCAGATGCATAATTTATCTCAAATTAGCGCCTATTTGAGTAAGCATCAAAGCAAGGCGGCTAAGGTTTGGAGGAGAGCTTAAGAAACCGCAGGGAAACCATCGACAGGATTAATGCGGGAGACTTTTATAAGAAATTACTGGCTTAATGAAGTGGATAAAAATGCTGCCAGTGTTTTATTGCATCTAAATTGTGTGGAAGTGGTGTTTAGCTGTCTCGCCTACATCCCACATAATGGCTCGTGACAGTAGCTGTGAGGCTTATTTAACTTAACTGGTGAATAACTTGCATGGCGAAGCTATTCACCGACTTGCTTTTATATGCACTAAACCAGCGAGGAGGTACCTCCCCACACACACCCCCATCTCCTCATTATTCATCATAAAACCATCTGAAAATCAGCCAGATAAAGAAAAGATCCACTGATTGTTGGTTTTGAGGAGTTTAAATGTTACGTGGGCCTGACTCAACTGTTCCTTCATTTAGATTTGACTTCAATCTTGTTGACTCTATCTTGTGTTGCTGAATAAATAAGCAGAGCTTCTCCTTTGCTGTTATAGATGCTTCTTATGTTTATGCATTATTGTTTTGATTCAATTTACAGGAGCAGAAATTGATGCACGCTCAAAAAATAGTCCACAAAAAAGGTTAGGTGGTTAAAAAAGATCATTTTGGGAGTTTTAGAGCAGTCCAGCAGCTCCATCTTGTGGAGAAAAAAACCTCATAGGAGAAAAGACCAAACCAAACATCTGTCCTGTTCAACCAAAAGACGTATTTAAGTGATGTACATTTTTTTTAAAATGAAGAGCATTTCAGGTTTTTTCCTCATTAGTTTTTAAATAATATTCCGTCCAAACAAGTTGAACAGAGTACCTCAATGGCACTTTAACATTACAATTAAACAATTTCATTTAAAGTAGGAACATTTCACCTCCTGTGGCCCGAACGCATATGTCCTTCTGCTCTGCATCGCCAGCTGAAGTGCTTATAATGACGAGGTTCTGGACATTTGCCTCAGACTCGTGGAAGTTTAAATGTTGTTCAGGAGGATGAGTCAAGTGCTACTTCAGTTGAAGTATTATGGGGTGTGGAACACTGAAAAAAAATGTTTATTATCATTTCTGATTTTATTTGGTTACGCTGAGATTTTCATGCAGGCTGAACATGAAAATAGTCTCCTACACCTATCTCCTGCATTAGCTTCTGTTAGAAAATAGATGGAGAAACTGGGATTTGAAAAGCCTGACAGATCTACGCCACACTGTCACTTAAAATGAATGAACTCACCCACGTGGACAGATGACGAGGAAGGCTGTTGTTGTCCAGTCGGAGGAGAGATGTTCAGATATCCAGAAACAAGACTGGAAAACCTCTGCTATGATCATCTGTCGTATCACCAAGTAGCTCAAATAGGGAAGAATTCCTTTTCCAAGCTTCATGCGAACCTGCGTCACATGTAGCAGTATCAGGCATCCATCTTAATGCTCTTACTCACTTCGCCTTACCTACTTCTTTTATACTCTACTGCCCTCTAGTGGTAGACACAACACTGTCATCTGAAGCTCAGCTGTGATGTGGCTCACTTCTAGTTCCTGAAACTGTGTTTTCCCCCAGAGTACAACTTACAAGGTATTCCTTCCTACTAGAGACCACTGCAAATGTATTACTTAAGTAAGTGAACCACATCTTTAAAATCAGTGAACATTTCTCCCAATTAAACAACCAAAAGTGGACTCTGAAAAAAGTGTTTCCAGACTAGGAAAGTGCTCGCTTCAGCAGGAAGAAATCCTCCTCCATGTGCTTTTGTAGTTCTGCTGCACTAGCTTGGGAACTACAGCTAGGCTCCGACACGTCCTCACCTCCCCAGGACGCTGTCGACAGGTATCCAAGTGTGAGACAATGCTCAGATGGAAATCTTTTCTTGATAGTGATGTTTTCTGTGTAAATTGTAATCTGTCAAAATGACTGATGACCTTCTGATTTTATCAGTCACTGTTTAAAAAAAACATCAAATATGGAAAAAATCCAGTTAAAGTTGCTTTAGCGAGACTGAAAAACAAGCTAGGTTCTGAAATCAAAACAGTCACAGAACAGAACACTCTTCTCGAGTATCTTCTCCGAGATGCTTCTGCTGGAACCGTAAACCCGCATTGCCAGAGGAAACGAGGTAGCGCTAAACACCAGTTGCCGTTTGCTAGGTCCAAATGTCTCATTGTCCATGACTTTAATTGTGTTTCATTTTGGGACTCTGGTAGTTTGTCTTAAGGTTGAAGTGGTAGCAGCCGGCTGTTTCTCCTTCTTTGACATAATTGAGCAGAGAACCTCTCACACCTGTGGTGTTATTCAATTCAAATTCAAAAATACTTTATTAATCCCAGAGGGAAACTGATTGCTGTAGTAGCTCAGAATAATAATAATAATCAAGTCATCAAAGAGTTATTGTATATTACAATGGCTGTTGGCAGGAAGGATCTCCAGTAGCGGTCAGTGTTGCAGCGAAACTGAAGAAGCCTCTGACTGAAGACACTCTTCTGTTGTCGGACAGTCTTGTGAAGAGAATGCTCAGGGTTGTCTGTAATTTTCTTGATGTTTCATGATTTTCTTATGTTGATAAATGCGGGAGTGCGTAAAGACGACCGAGGGAAGTGCTGCAGTTTAGCCAGCCAGAGAACCGGATGATAGCTTTTGGTCCAAAGGTGTGATTGGCATAGCTTTTTAGACAAATGTGAACTTCATTGTTTATTTTTAATCTCCTCAATAGCACCTCTCAAGATAAAAATCATGAGGCGCTTTACAAAAACTTTAAATATAAAATGATAAAAATGATTAAAACATGTTTACTATGTTAGAATGTTGTTAATAGGCATTAAAAATGGTTTTAAGCTTACTTGTATTTGAAGTTCGCTATTGTAGCTTTAATGTAGCCTCTTCATGCACGTGCAAGAAAAAGAGGGTAATGACAAATGGCTTGTAGTTGTATAGCACCTTTTGGAGTTCTACAACCCCCAAGGTGCTTTACACCCATGCACTGGTGATGATGAGCTACAAAGTAGCCACAGCTGCCCTGGGGCACACTGACGAGAGTGAGGCTGCTGAACAGCACTACTGGTTCGGTGGGCGGGATGATGCAACGAAGTGGACAAAGAAAGATGGTGACACCTGGTTTGAAACAGCTTTGGCGTCAACTTTGGACTATTTAGACTTGGGCTTTTAGAGTTAAGAGCAGATAGAGGTACTTAAATCCTTTATTTAGAAAAAAAAATAAGTATTTGCGTCTTCTTCGACAGTGTATGGTGGACAGTTCACATTGTATGGAGCGCTATGGGACAGGGCGGGCTTAGCAAAAAGAAAAAGACAAATTGCCAACATATCACAGTACATAAGACAATAACTTTTATGGATTTCTGAAAAATCATACAGAATTACTCAAAGGGGAAAACTCCGGATAGCAACTTTTAGATAGAAGTGGTTTGATGTCCAAAGCCTGAGGAGTCAGACGTTCTTTTCCTTTGAATGCAGAACCTGACACAGAAAACAAAGCTGAACCTCAGAAAAAGATAATTATTTTGTAGCACAGGCTTTGGGTGTCATGTGATCTCAACCCAGGTCTAAACAAACAAAACAAACATTGTGTTTCTATAACATCAATCTGGTCCGTTTTTTCCTCGATGCATCTTTTTATTTTTCTTTGTTCAATTTCATCTTTGACTACAATGAGCAGTGTTACAGCTGAAACAAACACACACACACACACACGCACGCACACACTAATGTAAACACATGCCTGGAATGGGTTCTTTCTGGTTCTTGTGATCAAAACTCAACACAGAAAAAAAAATCTATAATTTTTGGGCAAAAAAACAAAAAACAAATCAGACATCAAAAATACAAAAAGAAAATCTACAAATATGATGATCCCAAAATCGTATTTCTCCTGCAACTCAACAATTTTTCTTCCAATCCAATTGACATGATTGATTTAATCATTTGGCAGTGCTTTACTCAAACATCCAAAGTATTTTATAATCATCATAAAGCCAATAAAATGTTTGATTTCTGGTGGAGAACACAGATAAAATACTTTCAGAGATTGAAAAGAAAAACATTTACTGATGCTGAGCTGCTGTTAGAGACCAAGGACAAAGATTATCTCTGTAAAAGGTCCTTGGGTGCAGACAAGAGCAGTGAGATCACATGAAAAACCTCTATACTGACACACACACACCAACGTTAGACGAACAGCACAATCCCTTTTCAGTCTGTTCACCAACCCTTGAGAAGTGAAGCCAAAAAGTGAGTTGTGTGCAGCATTGGGTCATGGTGAGGTGAGCGGTGGGCCTGCGGTGCCGGGAAGCTTTTCCTACGTAAGGCCATCTCTGAACATGTGGGCTAGGACCAGCGTTCCACATCCACCGTTGTTCTCAGCACAGAGGCGGTCGGGTTTGTCGCTAGACAAGATCATGACATCACAGTTAGTCCAGCAGAGGTCAGAATGTGTTGGGGTCCGGTGGGGGCGGGGCTTCGTTTCCTCGTATTGTTCAAATAATAAACAGCAGCTAATTATCACAGACTTCTGGTGGCTTTACGAGATCCATAGAAAGATGTAGAAGCTTCTCCTGTCCGGGAGCGGTTTGGACTCCGAGCTCCACTTAGCGAGAGTTACATTCACCTAAAACAGATGCCCCCCTCCCCTCTCCCTCTGTGCTCTAGGTGCTGGGAGGAAAGGATTGTGTCTGGTGTACGAGTGAGCCTCGGTTCTGTAGTCTCTCCTCTACGGGCTCCTTTCATCTGTCCTTCCTCCATTGAGTCTTTTTTATGATTTTCTTTTTCTTTTTTCCCCATAAATGTCTACAGAGTGTTGCGTGGCGTGCCGTTCAAAGCCACAGCCTTGCTGCAGGGCGAGCCCAACGCCTGAGGGCCTAAAGACCGCTGAGCAGACACGCCCACCTCGAACACTTCATGGATGGCCTTCCGGAAACAGTGGAAGTTGTAGTCTATTAGTCCTGGAGGGGAGAAAAGGTGCATTGGTTAGGTTTAATGCGGGGCAAGCTAACAAGCTATAAGGCAGAGCTATGTAAATTTTAAGATGACGGTGGTCAATTCAGCAGAGGCGTCAAACATTGCACGCATGGATGGATTGGATGGCAAGAGGAGGACTCTGGGAGGAGTCGATCTGATGGTACACCAGGACCGCAGCAGCATGAGTGAGTACAGCGAGGCCGAGGGCATCTGAATAAAAGCCTCATTTGACTTGGATTTCCCATGCAGGGTATCTGCAGGTTAAAGGGAGCCAGATTTAAGATTTAAGACCATTTTTAAGGCCACTTTGACCAAATTTAAGCCATTTTTAAAATTAAATTTAAGCTATAATTTCCAGCTATTGCCTAGGACCTGGTGCTAACCACGTCACGAACGTGGGATTAGCCATCCAGTTACCATTAAACTTCCCCTTCCCCATGGCACAAGCTCCTACTAGCTTAACCAACTAATGTGCTCATCTAAAAATAGCCCCCTTTCACAACCAACTGAATGTGCACGGTTCCGCTTATGCCATGTCGTCTTATAATCGGGCCAATGCGGTATTCCTATTAGCTTAAAATTTTACAATTTTATATACATAAATTGTGGTTGACGCTCCATAGTCATGCTCCATCTGGGAATACTGTAACCATTAAGGGACATTCAAGAAATAATTCTCCACATTTCACACTTTGACGTGAAAGTTCTCCTCCCTCTAAACGAGTGGAGGCGGTGCCGGTTTTCTCTGTGGCAGCTTTGCTGGTGGGGAATTTCTGCCCTGCTCCAACAACATGTGATCGCTGGATTGAAAGCTGGAAGTCATTCATAACTGTGGCAGTGAGCGCACGGCCGCGGGGGAGAGGGAGACGAGTGGCGCGGCTCTAAAAAGTTAGCAAGTATTTAGATCATATGGTTTTTCTTTTTCTGGTGAATCTGTTTGCAGGTGTCAACGTGATCCAAGTCCTACAAAGCTTCATGGTCACACCGATTTTTAAAAACGACTGAGCTGCTAAACAAGCTCAATTTGTTTCATAACGAGCTGTAATCCTTGCAGATTGAGGTCGGATGCTTTGAATGGTTTCTTATAATCCCTCCAGATTTATTAATGATTGCTTGGGAAAAGAAACCTATAACAAGAAAATATTTTGAGTGATTTATTAAGAATGGTTGTGTCCAAATCCAGGAGCTGGATCCTTCCGAGCCCATATTTTAAGGTAGATTTGATCAAAATGAAACAAGAAGGCTGTCTAAATATTGAAGTATATTCAGAATGCATCACTGTTTTTAATATAGGATTAAAAGAATATCTCAAAAGCAGATGTGCTGCAGTTGTTTTATCTTTTACATATTTGAGAAAAAAGTCCTCGTAAACGACCTCGTATGGCGGTTCCGGTATTCACGTATTGCTGCCAAGTTTAGTTTAAACTTGTTTAGTGCCATCGTAGTTGCTAGGCAAAAGAGCATATACTGAGGTAGGGGCGGGAACAAATAGGAAGACTAGATCGTCCAAACGAACAGCTGCTCACAGGAAAGGACCTGACCTACATGGACCTGGTAGAAAGTGTCCTCACAAAAAATTTCCGCTAAATCTGGACACAACCGTTGTCTCAATATAATCATCCATCCCGTCTTATTAGTGCAAAGGTGCTTTTATTTTGTGGCAACACGCTGTGTGTGAATGCTCACCTTTGCGCTCAAAGCTCTCCTCTCTCAAGATGCAGACCAGGGCAAGGAACTTGGTGACCTCTTTGAGGTAAAGCACAGTGGTGTTGTTGAGCTTAATGATGGCCATGGACTCTTTATCGTAGGCGCTGCCGCTGCCGTCCTCTCTCAGGCTAAAGAAACAAAACCCTGACAGCTCCGTTATGGAGGTCGTTACTATCCACGACTCTGGTTTTCCTAACATATGAACGTGGAACTCACCCATAGATGCAAGAGACGTCAATAACCACATCAATCATATCGCAGCACAGCTCGTAGGACTGCATGTCCACAGGAGAGCTGTCTGTGGCGATGTAGATCTTACTGACCACGTCGAACAGGAAAGCCTTCTCGATGCCTGAATTCTGTCCAACGAACCATAAAAAGGAGACAGGGTAGAGAGCAGAAGTTAAAAACGAGTTAATATATCTATTAGAATGGACACCTGGTATCCTAGCAGCGGTGGAGGGGTTGATTAATAAAATGTTGATTTGTGGGTTTTGGACAAGCTGTTTTACCTGAAATGTATCATCCTGTCCAGGTCTAGAGGTTTAACTGTGACACAGGAGATCCAAAAGAAGCTATTCATGCAAACTTCATTAAGAAAATACATAATTTTAGGGTCCAGCCCCCTTTCTTCAAGTTTCTGATGGTAATGCACGGTATAGCTGGTACACAGATGATATGATATAAATGTAGCCTCTGGTAAAAGATTTTACTCTACCGTCTAACCTCGAGTGTGCACGAATGTTGTTGAGCTGCGTTAACTCTGGACAAAAGCAGCTGTAGCTGCATGTGGATGAAGACGTGCTCGTAAAGACGACAGGCTAATGGCTGTTGTACGGACCTGGTTTGTGTTTAAGGACTTGGATAACTTGCGTAAAAAGTTCCTTAGTAAAATATTCTGGGCCACAGTAAAGTCATATCTGCGTTAAGAAAGACCCATCAGTTGTCACACACACTGGTGTGTGTGTGCGAAATTAGTTCTCCGTGCTTGACCCATCCCCTGGGGGGGCGCTGAGCTGCAGACACAGCCCCGCTCAGGAACCATTTGGTGGTTTAACCCCCCCCAATCCAACCCCTTAATGCTGAGTGCAGAGGTGGACATTAACTTCAAAACCAACCGGCCAGCCGGGCCGGTAACTTAGAAAATCTACCGGCCCCGCAGGTCAGCTGCCAAAACAAGTCAAAATAACAACTGAACCGTTTTAAATGTAATAAACCTTTATTTTGTACACATTCACAAACATAATAATGTATTCAAGTTTGAATTTGTTTGTTCCCTCAACAAAACTTGATTTTGTTGTTGCATACTTCCGGCATACAACGCAGTACATCACCTCCTCCGCTTTGCTGTTCTCGAGCCATTCTCTGCGCCTCCTGTCTTCTTTAAACCACCAAGAATCATTCCACCCACGCACACGCTTCTCTACTTCATACCGTTTCGAACTGTCTCGCTTCTCCTCACCAGTGTTAAAACGTTTTGCCGGAGGTTTCAACAAGAAATCCCATCCCTGTGGTGGCGCCATCTTCCTGCATGCTTGTGTGTTTCTAGCGTGGTTCCACTTCGTCTTTTATAGTGAACTTATAGTTCACATGACTAGAATCGTGCAGTACGTGACTAGAGGCGCGCAGGTTCACGCGCGCGAAACGAAAACGGCGGCTTCCTACAGGGCGCGGCCATGATGTAGGTGAAAGCCGGTGTGTAAATGACAAACAAGGCTTGGGCGCCACCCGGGTCATAAGTCGTCAATTATTTACCGCCCGACGAGAAAATTTTGCGCCATTGGCGCTCGGGCGCTTTAAAGGTCCACCCCTGTGGACCTACCACTAGGTCACTGAGCTGGTTTAGCTCGTTAAAGCTAATGCAATTTACTTTTAAATTCCCCATGAACACACAGGCTTCCAAACTGGTTGGACATCTGTGATTTTGTTCAAACAAATTTCCTTCCACAGTTCCAGCCGTTTCTCCCATTTACTAGGTAGGGTTGGACTTCTGAATTGTGCATTTTCAAAAAGTAGCTCTTCATCGTCAAGAGAAACATTTCCTGTTCTGGCGTTGAATGAAATTTGCTAATGGAACACTGTCTGTTACGCTAGCTAGCCCGGCTCTAGCTTTGCTTCCTGTTCAGCTGCTCTGAGCCAAGAACGTGTGATGAGTGCACATACGCGGGTAAGAGAAGGAGCTGGTTAAGAATGGGATGTCCACAATGATTGGATTAGGTTTAACCAGGATTGTACATTTAAGAGGTGATTAGAAATTGCCTACATTATTTTTATATCTACTTACAGAAATAAAGATATTTAAGAGGTTCTCCAAGGTGGGCAGCTGTGGGATGAGCTTCTGAACCACTTTGCTGAAGGCCTCAAAGATGGAGTGGTCATATATACTCGTCAAATAGAAGCTGAGGATGACAAACAGGAAGTGAATAAGCAAAGACTCTCAGATACTTCCTTAAAAAACGCATGTGAAAGCAGGTAGGAATCTGTCGCGAGATCATATGACTAATGGATGCAGGAAGCTCCTGAAACATGAACAACCAAATGCAGTTTGAAAAAAAGCACAATAACCAAAACCAGAGGCACGTGATCCATGGACTCCAGTTACAGAAACACATCCATGTTACAGAAACACATAAAGTGTTTGCAGAAGTCCTGATTTCTTTCAAATGCATAAGTTGGCTTCATGTTATACTGAAGAGCAAGTTTGGCTCGGCCGTCTTATTGAACTAAAAGCTCAAATAATTAAACCACCACTAATAAATAGGTCGTAAGATTAGAGTTTCTCCACGTTAAAACTAGGGTAACGACAAAAGATTAAAAGAATAGGGCAAAAATTCACTCTTGTGGTTTTTCCTTTTTAAACTTTATATTTGTGACAATCACTAAACTTTTGGCCACAACTGAATCTTCTCTTTGCAGCCGGGGGCTCCTTTTCTTCATTAGGACACCACAGAGGAATCTCACAGGCAGACTAAAGAAGGAAAAACATCCATCACCCATTAAAAGGGATATACTACGTAAAGCTCACCTTTTGAATTGTTTCATGTTGCCATGTGGGTTCTTACTGCCTCTATAAACACTCTAAACATACAAAAAAATCATCCCTCCATTTTCTGTCAGTGTTTGGTTTTAGGAATTAAGTGCCCCAAAATGAGCCGTTTCAAAATATTCTTGTTTGTGACATCACAAACAGGGACACTGGCATAAAAACCCCTTCCACGTGAGAAAGCAGCAGCTCTACGTCACACTGTTACTTAACAGTCGTGGACTCACCCATCTTGGATCGTGACGGGGAAGGCTGTTGGTTTAGTCATCAGAGAACAGCAGTAGAAGCTAACCGTTAGCATTAGCTACTCCACCACACAACCAAACTCCTTCAGGCTTGTATTATTTGTGGAGATAATACATCCATATTGTAAAGCAGTCAGTCAGTAGTAGTCGTGCTGCTGTTAGCCAATCAGAGGCAAGATGTCCAAATATCAGGAAAAAAGCCTCCAAATCCTGTCATCTGAAGCGACTTTCTCCTCTAGCTGAATTCTCCATGCTGAAACAGGCGCACCTGAGCGTTTTCCCCAGAGTATGACTTAAAAAGCATTCGCTCAAACGCTCAGAAAGAACCTACCTGAGATGCAGCTTCTCTAGACTTGCGTCTGCCAGGTTGTCGTTGGCTCTCTGGTGGATGTCCCTCTGCGTTTCGATTTTATGGTCGTCCGACAAGCCATCCACTTTGTGGATGAACACCTCGAAGTTGATGTCCGGATTGACCCTGTAGGCTTGTGAGACGGTGTGATGGAGCCTGTCCAGAGCCTCCACGTAATCATCCTGCAGCACAGCAGACACGGGACATTTACTAACAAACAGCAGGAAAAACAACACGACTGATGAGCTCCTGAAGCACCGTGTGACCCTCTGCTGAAACAACCTCCACTACAAATAAAACACACCGTTAGATCAGCTGCGGATTTGACTGAAGCCAAGATTAGTTCTCAAAAGCGTTTAGGGTCATGTGGAAAGTATAAAAGCCACGCTGTGTGGACTCATCTGAGCCACTTTGACCGGTCATCAGAGTCCACATAAGCATGGGAGTGAGCTTCTGTCTTACAGCAAGGAACACCTGAAAAGCTCACTCATAAACCAGAACATAAAACTTGGTGTGCTTGTTCAGGACATTTGTCAATTTTTACTCTGCACTTGTTAAAATAAAAAGAAATTCGGGGTTTAGTTTCTTCACCTGAGCATCGATGACAAATATCAGAGCCCCAGTTCCTCTGAAGATCATCGCGTAGTCGAAGGTGGGGTCGAAAAAGTCAACCTGTCCAGGGAAATCCCAGATCTGGAAGTTGACGAAGGAGCTGCTGGAGATGTCGTCCTTGTAGATTTTATTGGTGCTCTCCAGAAACAAAGTCTCGTTGGGGGACATTTTGTGGAAAACTACCTGAAATCAAAGTTGGAGTTCAGCGGAGCAGATCTGGTCTGGTTGTGGCGATGCACTCACCAAAACAAGTCAGGAGCTACTGGTCTACTCTGATGGGGGCAGCAGGAAATAACACTTCAGCTTTGGGAGTTAGCATTCTAGTTAGCAAACTTACGCTGTAAAAAAACCTTCAAAAGATTTCAAACCTGAAGAAACTAAAGGCAATCCTGATTAGAATCATTAGAGAACACGCGTTTTCTCCTCATCTAAAGCCGACTCACCCAGACTTAAAATCGGATCTGATGGTTTAGCTAATAAAGGTAAATTGAAGTTATGTCTGAGTTTTTTTAGATTTTACCAACAATTTTGGATTTAAAATTATGTTAAGTGGAACAAGGCCAAAAAGGACTAAATCAATTAAAGCATTTTGGTGCATTTCTTAGTTCACAAAAGTTAAAGTTGCTGAAAACAGTTGATTCCATTAATTATCTGTTTATTTTCATTTGTTCCCAGATTTATTAGAACCGCGCGACAAAATGGAAAAAGATGGATCCAAAAAGGAGAGATTTCTAGAATTTAGGTGAATTTATTTTTAGAATACAGTCAAATTCTTCAGTTTTGTCATTTTTCCACGATTTCCATTATATTTAAGGGTTAATGACAATATTTACTAAATGTTCATTTTTAACTGTTCAACATGTAACAGTGCAGCAAGTTTAAACTTGGCTCACTTTTAAATAAATGGTTTTCTTGCTAAAGCAACTTAATCGCGGACACAAAGATATCATTTGGACGTCACATGTCTGACAAAAGGGAAAAGGGCAAAGCACTGCAGACTCATCAGATGCAAGACGTCACTCTACTCAGCACTTTGCAACGTCACGCTTTTTAAAAGTTTGGCAGCAGCTGTCAGCAACAGTCTAGATAGTATTAATCTGATTATTAGCCAAATAATTGTCGGGACCATGAAAAATCCAAAGCCTAGGGTTGCGGCTGTCAGTGCAGTTGTGCTTCAGCGCTGACATTTTGAATCAATAGGTGTGGGCCTGAAAGACCACAGGCCGATGAAGCAGCAAAAAGCCGAATCACATGTTTCTCAGCTCAAACTGAAGGCTTACAGAAGAACATTGGTCTTAAAGGTGACGGATTAATTTTACATGAGTTATAAAAGTTTTACGGTTGATTAAAAAAACATGTTTATGAAGTTATTTGCATAAAATCTAATTTAAAGAGATTTCAGCAGTTTTATTGACATTTTCAGTACCTTCCAGAATGAGCCATTTCAGGGCTCTGTCACTTCAAGAAAACAAGATGGAGCTGGCTACACCCATCCATCCTCCACTCAGGCTACTATAAGCTGAGAAGCATCGAAGAGGTGCTCGGATTAGAGCCACTGCTCTTACAGCCTGTGGATGTGACCCAAGATTCTATTTACCTTCATACTCTTTGTATGGAAGGCAATGAATTTATGCTTAAATTTTAAACGTAATTAATATAATATCAAACAATTGCTTATCTTAAACTGTTGGTCAACAACTAACCTGGCAAGCCATTCTATACATGTAAATATACAGTCTGGCCACAACCTAAAGACAGAGCTCAGTCATAAGGGTGGAACTGACAGCCGTCTTTCAAATTGTCTCTGCATGCAATTGGACTATGAAAGGGCCAATCAGAGCAGCACGAAGAAGTGGCAAATTAGCTATGGAAATTTGTCAACAGGGCAGTCTGCCATACACAGTCAAAGACGTAGAAGAAAAAGTACCCTTATTTGCTCGTGTTGTCAAAGGTTGTGGCCAAATAGCCTAGTGAACTAGACCGAATTCTTGCTTTACAAAGTTTGGTCTAGGAACGCTCCACTGGAACCTCTGCAGCCCCTAACAGCATTCTGGCTGGCCAATCACAGCTCTCTAGAGGGGTATCAAACACATAAAGAGCTGTGATTGGTCCATAATGGTGGGCCAATCATAGTGCTCTATCTGCTTAGTGAACAAATCACAGAGCTTTATCCGCTTTGTGGGCCAATCAGGGCACTCTATATGCCTGGTGGGTGGGATGATGCAACAGAGTGAAACAAGATGGCGACGGCTCGTTTGAAACAGCTTTTACATCAATTTTGGACTATTGGAACTTGGGCTTCATTAGAATCAGGAGCAGATAGATGTATTTAAGCGCTTTTTTTTTTAAGAAAAATTGATGTGTTTTCTCCTTCTTCAACTGCGGACCGCCTCATTTACCGATAGCTGTTGCGGTGAGTATGTCACATTCATTGTCCAGTAGCATAAGGAGATCATTTGAAAGACAACGGTAGAACCCGCCCCACAACCGAGAGCCGACAATAGAGTGTTGCTTGCCAGGCTAGAAGCCAAAGCCATTTCAAACAAAAGCTAATCCTGCTCCGCCGCCATCTTTGATGATTGGTGCCAAGCCCCACAGAGATCATATACGTAGACACTCCATGGAATGGCGTTTTTTCACAAAGTCGCAAAGGGCTTTTCTGATCAGGAAACAGCTGGCAGTGAATGAGTTGATCATCATCAACAAAAGATGATAAATGTGTTTTTTTTTTAGTACAGTAAACATCAAATGGACTGGGGTGAATGAAGACCTATCCAAGATGGCGGTCGGCCACTACTGCAGCTCCAATAGGCAGCACCAGTCCACGTTGCGTCTATGTATACATCTGTGCTTTATGTATTCACGTCTATGGCTAAGCCCGCCCAACTTCTCTCTACAAACATATATATTTTGATATATCGTGTCGTCTCCCCTGTATCATGATATGTATTGTATCGCCAGGATCAATACACATCCCTAGTCCAAACGATTTAAATACCCCATGAATAAAATGTTTAAACTGAACTTAAAAGACAAAGAAGGGTGTTACAGGGTGCAGGTGCTGCACAGATTTCAAGCCAGCGCTGAACTAAAGGTGTGGTCAGTTTGCGTGTGTTTGGCATGTTGGGACAAGCTGGTAACCAGTCACATGTTTACATGTTCACGTATCAGTAGAGAGGCATCGAGTGTCTGTCCACCTGGGTAATCATTAACAGCAGAAGATCAGTGGATATTAGCCTTCTCACGTGGAGCTGACTGATACCAATCATCATTAAATCAAACGAAAGCGGCCTCGAATTTAAGCTAACATGTCAAAAACACACATATCTGCCTACCTTTTGTATTGACGACTTCCCACTTCGCCTCAAACCCATGAGCAGGATTCTCGGTTTGCTATCGGATGCGGTCGGGCTCTCTTCGATGTCGGCCTCCTCCTCTCCGCCATACCCGAAATCTTTGGGGAACGAGTCCGTAACCCCGTAGCTGTCAGACAGCTGCTCCTCGTACTGAATCGACATTTTGACCCAACGACGGTCGCTTCCCCCCCGTTTCCCCCTCCTTTAGCGGTGGCTCACCACACCCGTTATGGCGTAAAACTGCCAACACACGCCACGAATAACGTAAAAGCAACGAAAATAGTTAATAACGTCCAAGCTTCTTGGAAACACAGAGCGTGATCCCACACATCTCCTTAGGATTTCCTCTCTTGAAAAAAAAAGGAGGAAAAAAATGCGCTTTAGACCCGCCTCTTAGTTCTGATTCGCTGCCGTGATAGCATTGGGAAAAACGATTGGCTGGCAGTCGCGTCAATCTTCTGAAGCTTCTCCCTAGTCACCTGACTAGTACTCAGACTTGTTTTGTGAGCCAACAGTCAGTTCAAAAAGAAAATTACAATTGTTTACACAACAGTCAACGATGTTAAAGCACACTGAGTGGGCAGCAGTCTGGAAGTTTGCTTTCATTAAAAAAATAAACATTTAAAGTGGACATTTCATTAATGTTGCTAGACACGAATCAAACAAACTTAGCAGTTGTTTTGAAAGTTTACCACTAGAGGGAGATAAAGAATACATTAGATGCGTTTAGGAGAAATCAAAAACGTAGGAAATAATTTAAAGTTACCGATAACATAAAAATCGTTGTAATCGTAACGTAATGTTTCCCCCAAAAATGCGTTTCTTAACAAATTATAATGGAAAAAGTAGAAGCATGTACGTCAAAGCCGAAGGCCGCTTTTGGATATTTGCAACATGTTTTTACATAAGACCCGCGAAGGCACCATGATGTGAGCGAAGCAGAGCCTAGTAAAGGCGACAAAACGAAAGTTAACCGTTGACCAGACACTGGTTTTACCTGCTTCAATTGGACTGGAACTCCAATTATTCAGGAGTTTACATCAAATACCCGCACTCCAATTTACGAAGACCATCACTATGGCGCATTACAGAGTAAGTGTGTTTGTTGTCACGCGGTGTTTGAAAATATATTAAACAACTTACCTGCTTTATTTAATCAAACTAAGCTAGTGCTACTCCGACTAATCAAGCGACAGCCCGACCACCCGTGAAACGTCCTGTACTCAACAAAGAACGTGACTTATTATGAATAAGTTAGACAATATTTGTTCTTGTAATATTTGGGTGTGGGTGTTGTGTTAAAATGAGTGCTTTTTCATCTCTACAGGGTGGTTCAGACTCCAAGAGAGAACAGTTTCGAAGATATTTGGAGAAAGCCGGTGTTGTTGATAGTCTCACTAGTGGTATGAGGCTTTTAAACCATTTGTCATTAGAGTAAAGTTTATTTTTCTGTTACAAAAACCTGATCTGGAAGTTTCCCTGCTGCGGCACAGCTGATTCTGATATGTGGGTTATTACTGGGCCTCAATCACGTGTTCAAGTAGGCCAAACTGGTAAATTGGTTCCAACATTAAGATATATATATATATATATATAAACAAAAGTGCTAAAGTTATTTACCAAATGTGATATTTTATTAAATTCAAACCAATCTGAAATATGTAAATAATCAGCAGCTGTAACCAACTAAGCAGTGATTTAATTAGAAGCTCAGTTCTGGTCTAGATGAACTTTTATTTTTTTTTTTTTTTACAAGGTTTGATTTTGTTTTTCTTTGTTTTTCAGTTTTTGTGTCCCTGTATGAACAACAGGAGAAGCCCACGAATGCTTTGGAGTATCCTGAATCTTTATTTATTCATTTATTGCACAAATATGTTCCCTTCAGTGTTTCTTTCTTTAGCCCTCACCTCCTGGCAGATATGTGAAGCAATGCCTGAACGCTGTAGGACAGAATCCCGACACTGATGCGCTGCAACAGGAGCTGAACAAGCTGAGGCAGGAGATTGCACGTCTGACGGAGGAAAATAAAGATCTTAGAGCTAGGGTAAGCTCATTTCTATTGTTATATTCTCTAAAATGAAAGAGGTAGTTTTGGAACCAGTCTACAAGTAAACACCATTTTACTTCTAATAACAAATGAAGTTAATTCATGTTTTCTGTTTCAGATTCACTAATTAGGCATTTTCTGGGTCGATAACATGAAGTTATTAAAATAGATTTGGTTTATGTATGTAAATGTCAGAATAGATTATTTATGAAATAAATATCAAACAATATGTACGACTGATAAAGATGCCCTTTTCTCTCCCCAGCTGAAGCACTATGAAACTGCACCAGAGGATGGCAGCACAACAAAATGAACCCTGGAAGCACTCTGGTTTGATTAATGAGTTATTTGTTGATACTGATATTTTTGGATTTCAGTGCAGAGCAAAAATGAAAGATGTTTACACTGCTGTGCTTTTTTTGGTTTTGTAAATCTTAAGTTTATTCTCCTTGTCTAATTTATTTTGTATATGTTTGTATATAATTTCTTGTTTATAAAAGTATTTCTAAAGTTCTCAGCAATTAAAATGTTTGTGTCACAGAACTTGAAGTCATATGAACAAAGTTTTTTAAATTTCTGCTCAAATATTCCACTAATTCTTTATCCGGGTTCTAGTTTAAAGATGCAGTAATACTTATAGTGTTCGTCTGTGAAACAAATCACATTTAAATATATAAAAAAACTACACACTAATTTAGCTACTGAAGAGTCCAGAAAAACTTCAGGGCTCAGCTTCATATTTGACCCAGTTTACACATGAACTGTTTTTATGTTAGAAGAAAAATAATCAAACAGAACAAAATGTTTCATGAATCTTTTCACCGTGTTTTATTCTAAAAGTAGAGCAAGTATTTTGAACACATAGCAAAAATGTAACACATCTGAAGTTATCTTAAATCTGTGTTTGGAAAGTCTTCATCAAACCTGCAGTTCTATTTATTTTGGGACTGACAAAAAACAGTCCTTAACTCAAACTCAACAGGAACAGATGTTGGATGTGTCCAAGGGTTGGGTGCAAACATTTCCAAGTTATGTTTAGAATTTTTTATCTGACATGTAATAAATTGGGCCATTTTCCCCCGATTATTTTAATAAATATTGTGTTATTACATTTTTTTAACCTTAGGTTGAAAAGCACAAATGCTTTCAGATATCCTGGGAGTCTGCCTCCCATGAAGAGGACATTGGCTTCTTGTGCTTTTAGTCTGTTCAAAGTAAAGCCTTTTTTAAGGAGGCTTGATTCTAATACATATTTTAGATTTTTTATTTTTATTTATTTTTTTGTATTTTATGAATTTCCCACTTTAAACAATAGAAATATTAAACATTTACCCTGTTTGTTTAATCAGCAATGGCAAGATGGGGAAAAATCACAAAAAAAATCATTTTATTTAGTTTTTGGAAATGTTCTTTGACAAAACAGTTAACAATTTCATACGAAGGTTTGATTGGTTTTTGTTGCAACATTCTTTGTAACATTAGATCAACATCTTAAACTTTTCTTTTTTTCTAAATAAAAAAATTGGCTAATGCCATTAACAAAAAATGCTTAAACATTTCCTACAGTTATGGGATGTTGTGCAGTAAAATCAGTTATTTAAAATGACCTAGAAGTTAAAATAGCAGTTGCATTTGTGGGCTGTTAGTCACTGTGTCCCGTTAACGGGGTTTCACTGAATAAGAAATGAGCAGTATTACCAACAGCCTGTAGCTGGAATTCACACACTTGTCTTGAACATTTTGGAAATGCAATTAGACAAAATGTACAAAATACTAAAAGTTTTAAACAAAGTCCACAATACAACAAAAGCTGCATCTGAATTTTAAGTGTAACTATGTTTAAAGCTACAAAACATCAAAACGAACAGCCTTCCCCCAAACCCCACAATTTAAGATCTAAAACCATAAAAAATATAACATATAAAAACAAACCTCAACTCAGCGGTTAACAAGTAAAATCCAGCTTCCTGAATTACACAAATGTTTTTTAAAGCACCATCGATTCTACGGAGCCGGAGAGAAGACCACATTGAAGATCACAGCAAAGAGAAAGAAGAGTATGTAGCCCACTATACAAATCCAGAAACGAGGGTCTTTTAGCAGCTTCTGGTTGTAAGCGCTGAAGAAGACGTAACCAATGGTCATTCCGGCAACAATTCCTGCAAAGTGAGCCACGAAGGATACCTAAAAGAAAAAGGGTTTAGTTTTAAATGTAGCCTCCAGGCCATAAACCACTGCTGTCTGATCTCACAGGAAGCAACTCAAAAATACGTAGAACCAGTTTGTTTCAAAGGAGAAAAGCAAAGAGTTCAAACTGAAAGGAAATGCAGTGTGGAAAGTTAAAAGGATGTGTCTGCATGACAAATCCATCCCTAGTGAGGGCTTCTCATCCACTAGCAAATCTATGCAGCCTATTGCTAAGAACGCTCTGTGTGGGCGATGGCGGTTGGATAAATATCGCCCCGGGCCCTGTGTGTCCAGATGTTTGGTGTCATCTTACCTTTAAAACTTCATCATGCGCCACAAATCTTCTGTAGAAGGCGAAACCAAAATCTCCACCAACTACATACAAAGTTGTGTTAAATCGTTGCTAAAAGTCATTTCTGAATTTACAACATATAGAGTGAGACAACACAAAAAAATCTCACCGATAAGTACGATGACAAGGATTCGAAACACTCCAAGAAGAGGAATCATCTCACGAAAATTCTGTGAATTAAATGGAGTTTTAGCTCTTCACATAACTACAAATACTACATCTCAGTAGGGGACCAGTATTGGGCAAGTTACTTTAGAAAAAGTAGAAATTACCATTTCAAAATGTAACCAATTTAGTTAGCCTAGAAGTCTAGACCAACCATAGCAGTAGCAAAAGATGTGGCTCTGCTGGTCAGTCGACGCTCCATGGCCGCCTCATCAGGTCTACCATTGACCCGAACTGTTTTGTGTCTTGCAAATCAGAGTGGTCTGTTTGTTGGATGGCCTAAGTACCAAAGGTGATGGTTCAGACCAACGGCTTTGGCATCAACTTTGGACAATTTAAGCTAGGGCTTTTATTTGGGACATGAGCAGATAAACTCAAGTCCTTTGTTTCATAAAAGGAAACATTTGCCTAATCTTTGACTGGCGGACTGCTCCATTGACTGATCATTGTAGTGTTGAATACATCACGTTCGTAGCTCTGATTTGTGCTAGCGCGGTCCAATTGCGTGTGGAGATGGTTTGAAAGACAACCGAAGATTCCATCCTATGACTTGGTTGTGTCAATGGTTTGTGGCCAGACTATAAATTAACTTGTATAGGATGGCTTTCTAGGCTATGTTAGTAACGGAGTAACAAGATAAAAGTAATTTATTACCAAGAAAAGTATTAATTACTTTTTTAAAGAATAAAATGCAAGAGAATTTGTATCCCTTCTTAATAGAACTAACGACATGTACTAGAAATTACTAAGTATAAGTCCAAATGTTGTGAAACTGAATAATGGAAATAAATTGGTACTTAACAGAAGGAACTGCAAAAGCAAAGGTTACATTAATCGACACAATTCAAAATGTCTGTGATATGGAAAAAAAAGAACCCAATCAAATAAAATTTATAATTGTTTATAATTATTTACATTTTTCCCAGTACAACAGGTGGGTGTCAACATGAGATTGCTTCATGACATTTGAATTGCTCACATCTAACGTAGAAAAGCACATTGCCATTTTTTGTCGGTAAACCATGTATAGTGGTGTTTTTATTAGCGTTTCAACTCAGTCCAGTGAAAGCATTTCATCAAAACAAAATTCCTTAGCAAATGACACTAGAATAGGCACAAAAGGATTGAGAACAAAAATGTGCAAACTTAAGTCAGACCTGAACGCAGAAGTCCTGAGGCTAGGTGGTAAAGACATGCAGTTTGTTCTAGTAACACCTGAGCGAGCGCCCGAGATGTGTTCCAACTGAGTCGGTGTTACAGAATGACAAAGGAAAAAAAACGGAATCCCAATTGGATTACTGGAGAATGATCTAGGTATATCAGAGATTGTAAAGATGAATGAATGAACTGATGAGCAGTAAATCTTAAACAGCCTCTATTTCATATAGCACCTTCTAGGGTTCTACAACCCGCCCAAAGCGCTTTTCAACACAACCCCTCATTCATCCACACACATTCATACACTGATGGTGATGAGCTGTGACCACCACCAGCAATCAAGGTGTGTTTTGCCCAAGGACATGATGGCTGTGACAGATTGAGCGGGGCTCAAACCTGCTACCCTCCGCTTATGTGGTCAGCACTTCACTCTTCTTCCACTGTCTGCCAAATTTTAAGATTAAATTTAATTGGAAAACTCAGGCCAGACTCTTCCAAAACACACACCAGAGTTATTGGAAGATGTTGTTCCATCAGAATGAAGGGGGAAAAAACTGCTGCCCCCTAGCAGTCGGAGTTTGAATTGAACTACACAAAAGAAATGGTTATTGTTTGTATTTAAATTCTCAATTAGGAATGGATAATTCAATTCAATTCAAGTTTATTTATATAGCGCCAAATCACGACAAGAGTCGTCTCAAGGCACTTCACATAATAAACATTCCAATTCACAGTTCATTAAGCCAATCAGAAATAATGTTTCCTATATAAGGAACCCAGCAAATTGCATCAAGTCACTGACCAGTGTCAGTGACTATACAGCAATCCTCATACTAAGCAAGCATGCAGCGACAGTGGAGAGGAAAACTCCCTTTTAACAGGAAGAAACCTCTAGAGAATCCTGGCTCAGTATAAGCAGCCATCCACCACGACTCACTGGGGATCGAGAAGACAGAGCGCACACACACACACACACACACACACACACACACACACACACACACACACACACACACACACACACACACACACAGGATACTGCTTTTATTCATTATCATAATACGAAACATTGTGATAATTTAGCATATACCATATTTTCCGGACTATAAGTCGCACTTTTTTTCATAGTCTGGCTGGTCCTGCGATTTATATACCAAATGATGTATGCCGTGCTGCTGCGGGCCAGCTCCGGACCAGGAATGAGCTCCCCTGTCCCGCCATCACCTGCTGGAGACCATTGGGCGTTGCTGCGGGCTGGCTCCGGTCCAGGTTTCAGCTCCTCTGCCCCGCTGGGAGGGTTTCAAACACAAACATCACCTGCTGCAGCCTGTGGCGGGGTGCTGCGGGCACTCTCCCTGCCCGCTGGGAGGGTTTGAAACACCGCCATCCTCTGCTGGAGACCTTGGCACGCTGCTGCGCCCTGATTGTTTATTCTGTTATTGTTACCGGTACTTGTCTTGCAATGTGAAATGCTTGGGTCTCCGATTTTGTAAGAAAAGTAATAAAATTTCCCCCCAAAATGTGACTTATGTTTTTTTTCTTCATTGTACATTTTATGGCTGGTGTGACTTATACTCCGGAAAATACGGTAAATATTTTTTTACATCCTTTCATCTCACTGCAGTTCCCTTCACTTGTAGCAGTTTTAATCTGAATTGTTAAAGCTGCAATGGCAAGTTTGGAAAACAAATAAGCTTAAAACATTTTTATGCATCAAACTTCTAACATAGTATAGATTTAAATATATTTAGATTGGTTATAATATCAATAATGTAGTTATGTGGCATGGCTTAAAGTCTATGCTAACAACACGTTTTGGACCAAAAGCAACCACTGAGCCATCCCGTTGTTGGTCTTTCCAAACCGCCGGACTTCTGCACTTGCCTGGATCCTCCATTTATTACACACGCGCATATTTAGCAACAGAACACCACAAGTGTGAGAGGTTCTCCGCTCAATAATATCAGAGGAGGAGAAACAGCCGACTGCTAGCACTTGAATTTTAGGACAAGCTACCAGAGTCCCAAAAAGAAAAACACCATTTGAAGCTATTACACATATTTAGATGTAATATCACTGGTTTATAATGATAAAAAATGAAGCCCATGAGTAAACTCACCACCACTGCATTCATGAAATAACCTCCGAGCAGGGCATAGACGCCCCCAGAAGCACCAACCAAAGCACTGAGAGGATCAAAAATGGAACTGGCTAGAGAGCCTGAGGAATACAATAGATCAAAGTTTGACAAAAAGCAGTCTGAGATTACATTACTGAAGAAGAGGAACAAATAAACACAGAGAGGTTATGTCCACCTGCAAGGACTCCAGACAGGTAAACCATTCCCACTTCGAAGCCTTTGTGGACCAGTTCCAACGGGATGCCCAGTAGGAGCTGCATCAGCAGGTTACCCACAATGTGTTCCACACTAGAAAACATGAAGTGGAGAATGAATAAATATCACTTTGAATTTGATTAACAATGTATTCATTTCTGTTCTAAGCTAAGCTAAATGGCAGTGTTTGTCAAGTAGAAAAAAAGTCCCTTTTCCCACTTTTCTGTTTGTATACTGTACTTGTGTGCTTTTATTTTGAAAAATAAAAATATTAAAATCCTTACTGGTCTAATCTTTTCATTATCCAAGACTACTTGGAACTGGGAACCTATTAACAGTGTTTTTAATCACGGTGGTGATGGAACTAGTGCTCATTTACAGTTTTTCCTGTTTAGCCAAGATATCATTCCTTGTGTTCTTGTTTCTTATACACAAGACTATGTTCTTACCAGACCACATACAGCACTGTTAAAAAGCTCTGAGTTATCGCGTTTATTTTATAGTTACTTAACCTCCAAAGAGGCTCATTTCTTTTTGTAGTTTTTAGGATGTTTTAAGACCTGAAGTTTGGTAAATCTGCTCATACATTTCTACCCTGCGGTTGTTTTATTTCACATGGATAAAACTACAAACAATATACAATGCGTCTCAGGTGAGAACATTCCGGCAGCTGATTGGTCAGACTGCTAGTGTGGCCATAATGGTCTCTACTGAAACTTTAATCACTCCAAATATGGAAATAATCTCCATCCAATATTCTTGCCATGTGTGGTGTCTTAAGAGCTCTCGGGTCTGGTCTGAAGGACATTGAGACCGCTCCAATCATTAATCGGGGCTAAAACTCTTTAGATTGTCTTGATCTGATTTTGAGGACAAATGAGGGTGCTGCCTGTTGAGTGACATATAGCCAGTCAGAAAGCTACATGACAAAAGCACGCCACAAACTGCTCGTTCACCAGGTTTATTTATTATGGCGTCCAATTTGATTTCAAGCGGTTTTTCGCGATTTCCTGTCCGACCACAGAATGTTTGGGAGAAATCAGTTTGTGTGTAGTGTGCTTTTTTTTTGTCGTACATACATAAATTTTCTCACCATGCATGGAGTCACTCATATTTTGAAAATCCAGCAATTTCAAAGTCCTCCCATGTGAATCTAAGCCAAATCCCTGATCCCTGAACTGTTAATGAATTCTTCAGCCGTAAACAAATCTGGTCTATTTTGCTGATTGTTGTCCATGTGAGCCCTCGGTTTATTTTTAGCTATCTAGAAGCTACTCAATAGGTACTGACCTTGTGGTCCCTCCCATATCCCAACGCATACTACAAATATGAAAGCAAGCATAATTTTGCTGTTATGTCGAATCAAGTTCATTTTGAACCGTGCCAAAAGGTTTCTGTGTGTTTTGTTGTTGTTGTTAACAACAGGGTGCATTACATAAGAATGACATCCTGATGTCAAATTTGGTTGCTGCAGCCCATTTTCAAAACACACAAGCAACTTTGTCACCCCATTCAGGGAATTTCATGGCTGTTGCAAGCTACAGCTCAGCGGCAAAAGATTATAAATGACAAGTGAAGAGTCATATATACATAGTAAGCTGATAAGTAGATACTTATACACTGGTAATTGAAAAAGTTTTTTTTTAGAGTAGCCTCGTTTTTCTATTTCACCATTAGCATTGTTAGCTCAATGTTAGCCTCTCCGTAACTCGATATTACAGGCCTTTTCCAGCGGCACTACTCCGCGTGACTCGGGTGGGTGTAGTTTGGTCTGGCAGCCTTTTCCAAACAGAGCGGTTCAGTATTTTCACCCTGCTTTCACTCTACGTTTCAGTCCCTACTTCGTTGTGGTTCCAAATGTGCTGAACGGGGCCAGCATTGATTGGCTAGGGGGCGGAGTCACTGGTTGCTCCAAGGTATTGTGCTCCCCCCCCTTCCCTTCGGCAAAACCCGTTGATCGAGACCATTCTAAAATAAAATCACAAAAGTCTGACTCCTTGGAAACAAGATGTAAAGAAATGACAGATGGTTTAAGAAAGCTTTTGCACGGTGTTTACGATGACTATGTAACCTGAAACTATCACAATTATAAAAATCTAGATGGTGATGTCCCGACAATACATCAGCAAAAAGGTACATGTTGATGTGATTCAACTAATAAAGGGTTAAATCTGAAGCTCTGAAAGCATCATAACTCCACAAACAGCATGATTCACTCTTTCAAGAGTCTGTGGAGGACTGAAGCCGTCATCGTGTCATTAAAGGATTTAAAAACCTCCTTCGACTCACCCAGCGTGGACGAACATGTAGGAAATAAAGCGCCACGCTTCTTCTCTTTTGTCAGGAGTGTAGGTGAGAGGGCTTCTCCAGATGCCTTCCTCCAGGGTTATCCACCGCTTCTGGGGCTTCCATACGGCATAGTAGATAAACACTCCCAACTGAGAAAGAAGAGGGAGTGGAATGAAGGGTAAAAGTAACCTTATATAACCTCTCGGTGCTCGATGACCTGCTAGTGGGCCGTTTGAATACAATTCTTACAACTGACTCGTAAAGTCATCTAGTATTCTAAATCTGATTGACACCATGGTAACGTTGTGGTAGAGGGTCCAGAAGCTGATTTTTATACATCTGGGCCAAACCAGATCCACAGTTGCCGTGATGCAAACAAAAAAGACAAAAACAACATCTTCTTCTTCTTGTGCTTTTTAAAAAGCTAACTGCTAGCCTTCAAATAAGTCTCCAGCAAGCGTTCCTACGCAAACCACCAAACTTGTTAAGCACAGTTTTGGGTCAGCAGAGGGCTACGGAGTGATGTGAAGTTGCTCAAGCACCACTGAAACCAGACAATAGGTTAAAGTCAGTGCTTAATTTGTAAATTAAACATCCCCGGGATGCAAATACTGATGTCAAACCCAAGTTTACTAAAGGCAAATCAGACAATTTTTCTGTCCTGTCTCTGTCTATTATCTTCCTGCATCTCCTCTCAATCCTAAAGAAAAACTGCTACCTGACTTCATATATATTCACCTCATGAGTTACCTTTGAACTGCAGCTCAAATAAATCTACCGACCGCAAAAGTGGCGGAGTGCGCGCCGCGCACTGACCGCGCCGGTGAGGTGAAGTCATCGGAGGACGAAACAAGTGATGCGCTCTGCAGCAGCAAAACGCATCAGGCACAAATACAAGACAGAAAGCATAAAAGGATATGAGCCGACATGAACGATCGCGTGTAAAATTTGTTTTTAAGGTGGCAACACTTTGAGAATGTTACTGTGGCCGTGCTCAGGAAGCAACTGTCTGGAGCGCAGGAACGATCAGATATCTGCGCCTCTCCGCTCAAAATAATGCCCGGAGAGTCCACATGAATAATGTAATATAAGTAGAACCAGGATCCTTTTCGGGCTCCCCCCGGGTGTGTTAGTTGTGGGCTTCCAGGGGAGCCTGTCACCCTTTTGGGTAGGGCTGCACAATATATCGCAAATATATCGTTACCGCGATATCAGCATGTGCAATATGCATATCGCAAAGAACAGATAAATATCGCACTGACTGGTCAGCTCAAATGTTTGCTACACACAATGCATTATGTCAAACGGAAACATGATGTATTTTTAACTAACCAAATAGAGCTCTTCACCCATTTGGCCAAATGGGTGGGTTCTCATAGGTTAGATGCCCGCCCCCGAGACGGAGAGTAGTACTTAATTTTGATGGTTAGCAAACACCTGAGTTAGCTTTGTTCTGCTCTTTCTGCTGATTCTGCTTTTCCCGGGATCCACTGACTGTCTTTTCTTTTTCCCTTTCCTCACATCTTTTGCTTTTCTCATTTCTATGACTTTTGTTATTTTTTTATTTCTTTGTTTTTGATCATTTTTGTTCCCAAGCTAAGTTTTTATTTATCACAAGTAATATTGTCATCGCAATATCAATCACCGTTATCGCATATCACAGGTTTTCTTAATATCGTGCAGCCCCCTATTTTCGGGTGAGCCGGGCTCCCTTTAGCTCACCCGTGATTGGAAACCTGCGTAGGCCATAGCACAAGTTGGTCGCGTGAGTTGCCGAAACCTAGCAGACTGTCCCGAATCTTGTTCCGGCAACATCCGGCTCAAGTTAGCCCCTGGTTAAAGTGTTAAAAACGCTAGTGTTGCTTTAAAACAAGTTTTACTCAATAAAATAATAAAGACTAAAGCTTATATTTTCCAGTAGTTGTACTCATCCACCAAAAATTACTGATATCCTTGTTGAGTATACATAATACAGTTCAGTTTTATGAGGCATGAACCAGGACCCTCTCTGTATGTGTCCTAGTAAGTATCCAAGCTCTCACCAAAAAGTAGACAGACTTTGTTCACGTACTGAAAGCAATGCATTTTGTTCTTGTGATGGGAATCGACTGCACTCGGAGTTTAAGTGTTTACACAGGAATCTCCTGTTTTCAGTTCCTGTGGGAGGAGACCACACGTGATGAGTCAGGACATTTTAGAGGAGGCAGCACAGAACAGGAAGAAACCTAGAAACAAGAGCTCAGGGCTCTTTGGGAGTTAAAAATCAGATTTATTCAAACCAAACAATCACCAGACAGCAGAAACATGTAATGAATATGTCTAGATCCAGTTCCAGAGTTTATCCTGGCCGTTTCAGTAACTTACCTCTGCCATACTGATGAGGATGATGAAAATGGGTGGTGGGAAACAGTTGGCACGATCCAGGTAGGTCTCGCGATGGTGTTCTGGAAGCATCCATTTGGAGATTGCATTGTGGAATTTGTCACAACATCCCAACTCCTCTGTTCCATCCGCTGGCGTTGCTCTGGTCCTCTGTCGCTTCTCCTCTCTTTCCTCTGAAAACGGTTCCTGCTCCTCCAGATCGACGTCCCCCATCACTGTAGTCTAATCTGAAATGAATGGAGTGTTTTAATCCAGGGTTGCTAACAAGCAAAATCCTCGAGTCACACAGGTATAGATTAAAATTTAAGCTATTGCACAAAGAGTAGTGTTAAAATCATGTGAGTGACTCACAGCTTTCAGATTTTAGCTAATTCAGCTATTTTTAATCAGACTGATTCTAAAACTGTAGAGGTGCAGGTGAAACCTGGAAGAATCTGAAAATGGTGCAAACGTCCATTTATTTCAGTAATTTACCCTAAACTAAGACCATTTAAAGACTCAAGGACCCTTTTGCAGGTGTTTGGGTTTAATTAACAGAGTGTGACAATTTAAGCCTAGAATACTGAACCTTTTCGCAATCTTCTGGTTACCTGAGATTTTTAATTTGGAGTTTTCGTAAGCTGTAAGCCTTAAATCATCACAATTATAACAAACACAGGCTTGAAATATCTTGCTTTGCATTTAATGAGTTGTTACAGCCCGGCTTGAGGGACCACAACAAAATGGGGGCTTGTCCGGGATAATCTGGACTCAGGACAGGGCCTGGACACAGTGGCAGGGGCTGTAACACGAGTCAGTCTAATTAGTCACCCTTTTCAGTTGAATTACTGTTGTGAATGAAGTTTTTTTTTGTTAGTATAGTCAGTGTTTTAAAAGTTCCATTCAAATTTCTCCTGTGGCTCAAAGGCATATTTATTCGAATACAAGTAGGGTTGGCTCCAGGTTCCAGCACTTAATGTCGAAGAGGTTGTAGGGCCCAGATAACACTTTAGTAGCTAAAATATCTGTAGAATTACCTGACCTGTTTGTGTCATCTAAGGTGAATAATCAGTTCTGACATCTTTCATTCAAGTCCAATGGTATTTTGCTAAATAGACACCCACACATCATCTATAGAACTATTTTCTATGATAAAATAACCTTTTGGTTGTACCGCAATCAAAGCGTAAGTCAAGGGGGGGATCGTGGCTTTGCAGTTCTGGGTCCTCGGCTTTGGAACCGCTAAGACTTAAGCTGTATTTTACATCGGTTTCTTAGTTGTTTTTATTCACATTTTAATGTTTTTGATCACTATTTTTTAAGGTTTGTAGCTCTTTTTTTGTTTTTATCTCTGCATTTTATTATACGGCTGTTTTGCTGCTTCTCTGCACTATGTTCAGCACCTTGGGCCCCCTTGATTGAGGGTGGGAAGGGGTTTTATAAATATAAAATGCTACTAAAAACACTTTTAATGTTTAAATGCGGAGATTTCGTGTGAAGGAATTATAAACGTGACTTCATGAAACATCTGGATTTGTAGTTGTGCTTCAGATTAATGTAATAGTTACACCTCCTTTGCAAGGTGGGTAGATGTATTTGTTTAAGTAATACGGTTCAGTTAACTGAACCAAAACTTTAATAAGACATGCCACTATTTAAAGAGATTCAGTTAGATGTAGGAAAACCTAAAAGTAAATAAGAGTTTAGAAACACTTTTCCTGCAGCTTTAATGAAGGAAAAGGTAGCAGCACAGCCGCGCTTCCTGCTGTTTTCGTTGGGGGTTCTTTTGAACAACACATCTGTACATCCGCGCTCTTAAACAAAGTTTGTCCCACTTACCTGAACTTTAATTGGGAAGAGCTGTTGGCTCCAAAGGTTCCAAAACCTTTATTTGTTTATTTATTTATTTTTTCAAATAAAGTTCACGCTCCTTTGAAGTAAAACACAAAAGTTCGACAGCATCAACACAATCCTTCCATGTTTCCAGATAAACCCGCGGACCGAGCGTCGTTCTCTCTGGCCCTCCCCGGAGGTAATTATAGCTTCTCTTTTGCTTTTTCCTGTTTCCGTCCTCCGCACAAACACACCAGCGGTGATTCTTCTCCCTCCTCTTGGCTCCGGATCATGCACTCAGCTAAAGGAGGCTTAAAAACTCCCAAACCGAGCGGTCCGAATACCTGTTTTCCTCCTGCCACACCTGAGGTTAGTGACGTCACAGACGTTGTAGCGCTTCTTCCGTGAATGAGGCGCGCACGCGCCATTCCAGCCCAGGTGGTCTTCTTTTAACATTATGTAGTACGTTAAAAATAATTAACGTATTTGATATAAGTGACCCGAGTCCTAGTTTAAATCGATTATTAATGCTGTAATTACAAATAATCACCACACGGTGGTGCTGTAGTCTGCAAAGTTGCACACGATTATTTACATAAATACATACATGCTTATCAACGCTGCAAAATTTCATTATAGCGTTCAATTTAATAGTTTGAAACCATCTCATAAGGTTTAAGTTTTTTTTAACTACATCACTAACCTGCAAGTGGTTTCAAATTCAGTCCACATGGATCCGCTCTCATTTAACGCCTTGATGCATGAATTATGAAATCTTCATGATTTTTTAACAATTTTTTTTCATTCATCTTTAGGTGTGAATGAAACAAATTTCAACAATTTTTTTTGTAACATTTAATTTAGGAATAATTTATTACACGTCCACCTCAGTGGACGGCATGCATTCTGAACATGAAATATGGTGGCTTGACTTACTGAAGTCCAAATGGAGGGGCTCAAATGTAAGTCTTCAACAGCTGTGCTTAATAGCAAAAAAATAAATAACAATTTTGAGTACCTGTCCACTGTAGTGACCAATATGCATCAAAGTGTTAAGATCCAACATTAAGTGATTTTAATTTTAAATGCCAAATCTATTATACATTTACAATTACATCTACAAGTTTTTGTCTGATCGTTTAATTGCTGTTAAACGTTTTTACTCTCGTCACTTTTTGTTGCGCAGCGCTTCGTTTGGCCCTTCAACCATGTGAAGGCGCTACATAAAGTCGATTTAAAAGAAACTTCAATGATCAAAGTGTAAATATCAAGTTTTCCCTTTTTTACTGTGCAGATACGGAATCAGACCACAGATGGAATCCGCTTCTTCGTGACCTCAAATGTTCCCCAACTCTAGAAACATTCAAACCAAAATTGAAATCTTTCAGCCTTTGGATGAATGCTTCCCATGCTGCACTGAAACAGCTCGCCCCCTGATTTTTCCTTTTATCTCATTAAAATCGGAATTTGAATTCTGTATTTAATTTGATCTAAATTTGTGTATTTAATTATGCCATCATGTTGATTTTGCTGTTCTTGCTCCTTTAAAGCACACCAAACTGCCTCCATGTATGAAATGTGCTGAACAAGCAAGGCAGCATCAGATGAATGTATATAACAAGCAGGAAATAACTGTTCTGTTGAAACGAAAAGCTTAGTCGTTGTCTTCCTCCACTTATCCGGGTCTGGGTCGCGGGGGCAGCATCCCAACTAGGGAGCTCCAGACCGTCCTCTCCCCGGCCACCTCCACCAGCTCCTCCGGCAGGACCCCAAGGCGTTCCCGGACCAGATTGGAGATGTAACCTCTCCAACGTGTCCTGGGTCGACCCGGGGGCCTCCTGCCGGCAGGACATGCCCGAAACACCTCCCCGGGAAGGAGTCCAGGAGGCATCCTGACCAGATGCCCAAACCAACTCAACTGGCTCCTTTCGATCCGGAGGAGCAGCGGTTCTACTCCGAGTCCCTCCCGAATGTCCGAGCTCCTCACCCTATCTCTAAGGCTGAGCCCGGCCACCCTACGGGGGAAACTCATTTCGGCCGCTTGTATCCGCGATCTCGTTCTTTCGGTCATTACCCAAAGCTCATGACCATAGGTGAGGATTGGAACATAGATCGACCGGTAAATCGAGAGCCTGGCTTTCTGGCTCAGCTCCCTCTTCCCCACGACAGATCGGCTCAGTGTCCGCATCACTGCAGACGCCGAACCAATCCGCCTGTCGATCTCCCGATCCCTCCCACCCTCACTCGTGAACAAGAACCCGAGATACTTAAACTCCTCCACTTGAGGTAGGACCTCTCCCCCGACCCGGAGGTGGTAAGCCACCCTTTCCCGGTCGAGAACCATGGTCTCAGATTTGGAGGTGCTGATCCTCATCCCAGCCGCTTCACACTCGGCCGCGAACCTACCCAGCAAGAGCTGAAGGTCAGAAACAAACAGCTTTCACAACAAATTTTAGTCACAGAACTTTTATTAGTTTTCTTCAAAAGGGAGAAAAATCCACATTCTCAAGTAGGGAGGTGAGAAAAGGGGTGAGGCGGGGTGAGAAGCAGGAGCTGTTAAATATAGCTGCTGGAGAGTTATACTGAATGATCCCGAGCCAATAAGCTTTTCTACAGCGCCAGCAAGAGGTTTTACAAACATTTGCTTTAATTCTGGAAAGAACATATCAACAGAAAGGAGGGGGGGTGGGAGACAACAAAAACAAACTGGCTTTTACTTTTCAGATGTTCCCAAATCTTGACCAGCAGAAAAACTTTGGAAGAAAGAAACTAGTTTTTGACTTAAAAACTGGATGGCACCCAAACAGTTTGAGCAGGGCGGAGAGCGGTGCGGCATCTGCGAAATAATATCAAAGTCAACTGGAAGGAGGCAGAGGAACAGGAAGAGCGGCCGTCGTGTTGGGAGGAGCCGGGATCACGCTGACGGGAGCTCAGGAGACGTCTGGAACAGAGGAAACTGTTCATCACGGTGCCTTTAAGCGCAGAACCTTCTGGAGAAGAGCTACTTACAACTCGCAGGTCGGGCTCCGTATCTTCGCATGATTTGGTCTTGCGTAAATTTCACAAAAGATTCATATTGTTCTGTGAATAAAAGAAAGATTTATTTGTGTGATTCATTTAAAACAGGAAGAATAAAAACTATAAAAGCTTCTGTGGTTTCTAACTGCTATGATGCAGCCTCATCTGTGCCCGTTAGCACTCCTAGCATCAGTGGTGATGCACAACTACTCACAACAGATCCCTCCTTTGTTGACGGTTAAAACACTAAATGAGCTGTGACATTGAATGTGTGTGGTTTATTTAAACACAAAGTAGATAAATACCTGCGAGTTTTGTGTTAAGAATCTGTTCGTACTCCTCCCGAATCTTCTCCTCGTGGTCTTTGAGCAGGCGCTCGCACAGGTAGCTAACCTGCCTCAGCGTGAACGAGGGCTGGTCCTTCTTTGAGGCACCTTGAAGACAAAAAAATCAACAATGATGCGAACGGTTAATATCGTTACTGCAGCAGTGAGTCAGAGGTAGGGTGAGAGTTGGCGGCTCCGATTTCTGTGTGCGACCGAGAGGGCAGCAGCAGCTCAACAGGCTGAGGGGGTTGTCCAGTAATCGGAAGGTTGCAGGTTTGATCCCGGCTCCAGACAGAACGCTGCTGTTGAGTCCTTGGGCAAGATACTTAACCCACCTTGCCTGCTGGTGGTGGTCGGAGGGACCGGTGGCGCCTGTGCTCAGCAGCCTCGCCTCCGTCAGTGCGCCCCAGGGCAGCTGTGGCTACATCGTAGCTCATCACAGTGTGTGAATGTGTGTGTGAATGGATGAATGATACACTGTAGTGTAAGGCGCTTTGGAGTCCTTACTCTGAGAGGCGCTATACAAGTGCGGGTCATTCATCATTCATCATATCACGCTGCGCCGCCAACGCCCGCCTCTCAGTCGCACCGACACTGAAGCTGGCTTTGGCTCAGCGATCCATCACTTTGTGGTCTTTCAGGTCTGCTATGAGCCAGGTGGACCAGAGTGTGTGTTTGTGTGTGTGTGTGTCAGAAAGGCCGGTTTCGTAACAGAACAGTCATGATAATGAACGAGTTGCTACTGCGGACCCGAGGCCTAAATTCCTTCTCATGCATTAACCTTTCTTCACAATTGCGATCGATCGACTCCCAATTATAACGTCAAAAACAAAGTGCAGAAAGCTCATTTCTAAACACGATCAGTCGTGTGTTTTCAATGAAACAGTGAGACGATCAGCTGTGCATTAGTCCATTAAAAACTAGCAAAGTAACCCTTGAACATCTTTCATTCTCAGCCAACTCCAGCGGATGTGGAACCTAATAGATGCATTTTCACCTCAGCAGCGCGCACGTCCCACTGGGAGTGTTTCAGATGTGCAGCATTCCGCACAGCTTCTACCGCAAGACCACGGAGGAACTGGAAGATCCCATGTGATTTCATTTGTTCACGCGATAAGTCAGGAGAAAGATGGCCGCATGCGTCCAAACTCCTTTTATGAACTTTTTACCTCAGCCATCGAGGTGTCAGGTAATGACTCGCTATAGTTAAGCAACCGGAAAATTTGCACACGTCTTGTTTTGAAAGTTGCTGGATGTTGTACACGGCTTTCGTGTTCGACTTCCTGTCTGGCCCAATCTGAGCTGCTGAGCTTCGTGCTTTCTGGAAGCATAAATCAATCAAAGGTTTATTTGTATTGCACGTTAACTGCAACAATGTTGCCCAAAGTGATCAACGTAAACAATTTAAAATACAATAAAACTACAACAGCTAATTAAAAACATAAAATAAGCACAATAATAAAAAATCGGACACAAAGAGTCATAAAACAGGACCGCCCTGTCAGCCCAAGGTGTTAAAAGCTTTGGAGTAAAAATAAATCTTCAGTAACTTTTTAAACAGACGACATCGAACAAAGTAGGTGCCGCCACTGAGAAGGATCTAAAAAAAAACGTAGCGTAAATTCAGCAGAGTGCCACAATGCAACACCAAACTCATTTACTGTCACTGGCGACCTAAAGTCATCATTTAAATCCAGCCGCTCGCTGCCGCTGGCGACTAAAGTCGTCAATACCATTTTTGTTTTTATGGGGCGGGCGTGGCTTTGAGCCCCTGCACCGTGAGAACAAACAACACGCTTCTAAATCTGATCATCCGTGTATGTCACACAACACATGACCAGGAAGCAGGAAAAAAAAAACATGAATTAGGAGATCGTTTTGGGCCGCCGCTGTGAAAAACGCGAGGTGCAAACTAGAAAAGCTTCTGCAGCTCACACTTCGGTAACGGACTATGGAAGAACTGACAACGCTAGAAACAGCGATTCTTCCTGATGCAAGAAGTGAGTCTACTCTTTCTTTTGGTAGTTTTGGTGTTCACATGATCATAGAGCATAGTAACTTCAAAAAAACAGTAAAAGCACCGGCAGCCAGAAAATGGCTGGAAGTGAATGTTAATGGACGTTTCTGAGAAGCGCCGCTGCACGCTCCACAGTAGGGCTGCTCAATTAATCGAATTTTAATCACGATTACGATCGGAGTTTTGAACGATTATAAAAAACAAAACAAGCCGATTATTTGCTCCTCCCACTTGTGCTGCCCTGAGTTGCAAATGAAGCGCTCCTTACATTGTTGCCAACTTGGCGACTTTGACGCTATTTCCAACAGCTTTTCAGACCCCCTTCTTGACTTTTTAAATCTTAAAAGTACCTAGCGAACACCTCAGAAACATCTCTGGTAACCCTTAGCTACTTTCTGGATAACTGTCGTCGACATTTCCTGCAGGTTAGCTAAACACTCCGCCTGTGCTCCGGACCGTTCTTCAGGACATTAGGAAAGGGAATGATGCAGTGATGTGTCAGTCGCTAAAGAAACGGCTCTCAGAGCCGGCTCCCTGTTGGATTAACCAGAGTGAGTGACACACACCGTACCTGCGGACTTCTGAGCCGCTAAAAACGGCTAAATGTGCGCGTGCTAAGCACACGTGCAGCAGCTTGCCCCGTTTGCTGTGAGAGCAGGTTGGGGGGTGGGGGGTGCAGCTGTGGTTGGGACAATTATTATATTAACTGATGGACCTGTAAATAAATAGTTTATAAATAAGGTAGAAATAACTTCCCCACGCTGATAAACAATAACTAATCTCTCTGAGGACACGGTGCTAGTGTACTCACCTACAGCACCTTGACACGACTTCAATAAAAGTTATGCAACATTTTGTGAACATCAATTTATTTGCGTTTATTTGTTATAAATGCCACTGTATAATTCTTGCTGTCAGTATTTGCAAGATATTGGTATTTGGGTCTGTGCTGGTTAGACTTAAATGAGTAAAACCAAGGTCTATAGCCCTTGGGTCATAAACTATGAGCTGTAAATATATTGGGTCTTTTTATACTGGGAATCAGGAGTTATTTTAGTGATCATCTTGTTTCTTATTTATTTTTGTCCTGATTGTGCCCTGAGCAGTTTTATGACTGAATAAAAACAAATAAAATCAACATAAATAGAAAAATCATCCTAAATAATTGTGATCTCAATTTCAGTCACCATAATCGTGATTATTATTTTTGCCATAGTCGAGCAGCCCTACTCCACAGAAACAAACCCACTGAAAGCTGCGTTTTGCTCTCTGCAGACATTTCACTCTGCTTATACATCCGGTGAAAAACCGGGGTGGGAACTACAACGCACACTGTAACTACAAGGGACAAGCTGCAATTTGTTGCCCGTTTGAGTTCATAGTGTCCATTAGCATGCAGTGGGGTCATTGGGGTCATGCAGAGTGGTTGGTTGCCATGTGTCCTACCAGGTGGGGAGCTGGGAGCGTTGAGGGTGGAACTGGAGCTGCAGGCCTCGGTCTGGTTGAAGGCGCCCTCCAGCTGCCGTCGCCTCTGGATCCGGCTGTACTCCTGGCGAAGGTTCTGAAAGATTTGCTCTGGAGGAACCAAACAGAAGCAAAGTCAACAAAAAAAGTTACAATCTGCACAGAAATGTTCAAACTGAACAGTGAGGAATGCAAAAAAAAAAAAAAAAAAAAAAAAGAAAAAAGTCTGAAAGTACTTTTACATTCATGGTGTGATGTTTAAGCTCCGCTCAAAAGCTTCAGAAATCTTTTAATTTGACAAAGTAAACCTCCTTATTTATTACATCTGTGAAGATACTGTGCATCTATGTTTTGTCCAACAGTGCTGCCGTCAATTCTAGAAATGAAATCATCCATCCAGTCTTTAATGAGCTCGATCAGTTCAACAACAGCGGATGGATTCCAGATTAAACAGGAAGGTACAATCACCCAATGCTGTTCATTTCAGCCGCAACCATAATTTATCCGTTCTTTACAAACAAAACATTCCCTAACAGGAAGTGACAACACAAACATCAAAACTGACGTTAGATCAGCTGTAACAAACAAGCACACACAGCTGACCTAAAAAATCCTTTAGCTCGTGACGTGTCACTGTACTGCAAGCCGAGTGTCAAGCAGGGAGGCGTTGGGTCCAATTTTTAGAGCCTTTGGTACGACGAGACCGGGAATCAAACCCTGATTTCCCAGTCCCAGGCGGACACTACCACTAGGCCACTGAGCTGGTTTCAGTGACAGGGAAGGCATGACACATGACAGTCAGCAGCAGAATCACTCTTTTCTACAAAACACCTGTTGTGCTGCTGCGTCTGTAAAGTTAGGAAGAGAAAGAAGGCAAGGAGACTGCAGACCGTGTCCACACGGCGAGTTTCTACCCTCGTCGGGGTCAGCTGGAAACTGAATTACTCGGGAAGTAATTCTCGTTTTATCAAACTACTTTGTTATGATTTCTGGCCAAGTTTGGCAAATCAGAATTTGACACGTTTCTGAGTTTTTACCCACATCCCTGAGAAAGCCACGCCTTCCTTCAGATACAAAAATGTTTTTAACCTCAATATGTAACTTATTGTAATATGTAACTTATTGTAATGTGTAACTTATTGTAATATGTAACTTATTGTAATATGTAACTTATTGTAATGTGTACGAGTGTAAACAATGATTAACTTGTAAAATCTAGCACATACTGACTTGTGACATATGGATCATTGTAAGAACAATATTCATTTTAAATTAATTGATTTAAGCAGTTTATTCGAACATTTGATGTAAACATCTTGTTCATTAATCACATATGATTATTTAACTTATAACTATAAAATCGTGGAGTCTTCACTTATTCAGAGTGAAGAATGTTGACGTCTGGCGTTCACAGAGTGTAGAACCTTGGGTGAGAATTTGTTTGTTTTGTCTTCTGTATGTCAACACGTGCTGAACAGAACCTTCTGGATTTAGAAGGACGAATAGAAAGTGGATTTATGCTGTAGATGAAAGGTCACTATGTTGGTCAATAAATAGGTGAAAATTGACCATTTTGGACGTTACACAGGTCAGATATTCACCTCAGCGTCTCATGAGGCAAAAAACTCAAAAACAAGGCACACACAGCGAGGTATCTGCTGAGAAAACGGCCTCGAATGACCGTTTGCTCAGCAGTTTACTCTCGTGTGCAGACTGATAACATGCAAAACCCTCATTCATTTGTAAAATAAATGGAAAAAAATAATAAATTTTTATACGGCAAGTACATGAGTGTAAAATATATGGTGGTGGAACTTGCTCACACACTCACACACACGTGTTCTGGAAACAAGTGGAAAAACAACGTGGCCTCAAACTGAGCCAATAACCCGATGCAACAGAGGGACTTCATCATCCTCCACTTATCTGGGGACTAAAGTCTGAACATGTTGCACCTCCTATCTGGGGAACTGTGCCTCATTTATCTTGGGTAGGGAAGAGGGGGTGAGTAGCCTTGCTGTCGGAACACTCAGAAGCTTGTTCTGGCTGAAGAATAATGTTGGACTTTCTCCATAGAGAAAGGAAGGTCTTGCACATTGTTCAACAGGCACTCTCACACAGAACACTTTTAGAGAGGATTTGGTCTGAAAACTCTCTGAATTAACCAGACCAGGATCCGTTGTTCCTGCTAAACAAGCTGCGTCACCAACATGGTAACAAGCTAACAAATTGAACTAGCTCCTCTAAGACAACCGGATAGCAGAGCTTCTGACTGACAGTTTATGTGCAGCAGCAAATCAACTATCCTGATTAACAAGGTTATAAAAGCTCATAAATGAGAAATCACTTTGATGTGTGGGGGAACTTTTCCAGGCCCTCTTTAGCAGGGTGGGACTGGGAGGAGAGTGCTGTAGCCTTTTAGCTGGAAGCTAACCGGAGCCTGGGGCTAACATCACCACCCGGTGGAACACTAGCGACATGGAGGGAGGTGGGTTAGTTCACCGGCACGTGTCGGAGTCAGCCCGGTTATTATCAGCTGCTTAACGACACCAAGCGGACTCGCGTTCACGTTTGAAAGCAGCGCTGATTCCAGAAACCTCAGCACAAAGTGCGTTCATTGCTCTGAGCCAGCATGACGAACAAGGGAACAGCGCCGCTAACTCAGCTCGGGTGTTGCTTTCCATCCCAAGTGTCTACGTAGGGGGCGGGCGTATTACGTGAACGGACCCATCTGATTGGCCGCATATCTGAAGGGCTACATTTGATTGGTCAAATAATACTTCCGCGTAAAAAAACAGAGCTGGTCTACAAAAAGTTGATGTACGACACGGATGGAAATGTTTGAACCAAACATTTATCGCCGTTTTTGACGTGCTTTGCGATGGGCCTATCGCACGTCCTGTTATCGCGATGACGATAATTTTTCGATATATTGTGCAGCGTTAGTTGTAAACAATTACACAAGTAGCCGCAAATATTCAAGCAGCAGTTTAATGGGCTGCCTTAGAAACTAACAATTTAGAGGGATTTTCCCTGAAGCCAATTCTCTTGAATATGATAACAGCTGCAGCTAAGTGCTATTTAAACTGTGCTTAAACACACACACACACACACACACACACACACACACACACACACACACACACACACACACACACCTTGAAACTGACACTTATCCAATGTCATCTGCTGACGGCACTATGTTCCAGGAGACTAAGATTTCTTTCTCTTGTGCACCAAAAACAAACTAGGGCTCACGTCTGCAACGTCTAGCATTAAGTTATAATCAAATACTTTTATTAACAACTGGTAACAGCTGGGTCGAATAAATACTGAGCTTCAAACAGGTATTTGTGTTTATGCGGAGGACTAAACCTGGTTTTTCAAAACTTTTACCTTTAAAATTAACAAGAATTTATAAGGAAATTCTTTATAAAAAAAAAAAAGGGAACCAATTCAACTGATTTATAGAACGGACATGTTTAGTATGAGAATTGTGCCGGTACACTTTGTGTTGATGTAGGACACGGCTATTCAATTCCAGCATGTTTCACGGCCCTTACACACTAGCATCGTCTCCACTCCGCCGGGACTGGGTTGGAAGTTTTCTCATTCCCGCGCACAATCCAACATCTTTTCAGCCTTCTCCTCGAGGAGGTCTGCCTGGAGCCGAACAGGAAAGCCACGCCCACTGCTGAGTAATTGGCTGGCTGATTGTTGGATAGAATCAGCCCACGGGGTCATGGGCAATCCTGGATGCTGTGGAGTTAACAAGCTGCTGACTCAAGACCTAACTCTGATGAAGACACAATTAAGTGTCAAAATGTGGGTCTTTTTTTGTGTTCGCACCTATTAAGTATTTGTCATGTGTGCTCCAGCCGTCTTTTTGCTTATTTTTTACTTCATTGTTCTTTGGCTGTGGAGCACCATCCAGTGACTGGATTATGAGCAGTGGATCTTGCAAGTGAAGGCATTTTCCTCTGTCCCTCATTGCTGTGAGGAGGCACACGCTGGTCCAACACACTGGATTCAGTGGTTGAATCACCTGTTCAGCAGCTCATCAGGCTCTACAGAAGCCTGTTAATCACCTGCTGATTGACATCAGGTGTGCTAAGTGGGGTTAAAACCTAAACCATTTATGTCACTTCCAGTCCTGCCAGCTACTGGGAGCTCAGCAGTAGGCATTGCTAGAAAACAACGGCCCTGCCACAACCAGTCCAAGCAATCAATCAGAGACTTCCGGGATATGGGGGGGGGGGGGGGGGGGTAGTGAAGAAAGCCTCAGTTTAACGGCTTTGGCACAAGCCACACGAATTTGACCTGAGAGCAGCCAGTTGGAACGGGCATGGCGATGCATGGGAAACAAAAGTTGTTTTGTTTCATTTTACTTTCCGCTGCGGTGGAGGTTGTGAGCTTCAAACATCAAAAGTGCCTGAAATAGTTTATGGTGATTCAGGGTCAGTTCAAATCGCCCCCTTGGGAGTGACTTTTTTCTGAATAGCCACCTACAGTTTAACAACAATGGAACGACTCCAGCAGCTTGCTATAGATGAAGTGAAAACATTATTTCCCAAACAAGTTTGAACCAAGCTAGGGTTTAATAATGTTAAGTATCCCACATCGCTCCATCCCAGCTCCATGGTAGGCGTTTTCCACTAAATGAGAGCAGGTGAATGTTTAAAACATGGATTTAGTTCTTTACCAGCACACTCACGGCCTTTCCTTTGGTAGCCAGCCTCTTTAACCCTACCACCTGTCCTTGATAGCAGTTCTTTGTTCTGGCTCAGCCAGAGCCAAAAGTAAGTTTCTTTTTCTGGTGTTGGGAGTCAGAACTGGTTCAACAGCAGCAACAGCAACAGTTTGATAGAAAAACTGTTACAAAATAAACTTGGTAACACAACCCAAGAAGAACAATAAGGCCATTTTAGATAATTTGATTTTAGAGTGATTCTAAACCGACTGTCCAAGAACAAAGATGACTGTAGTTGATAATTTCATCATATTTAAAACATTTACTTCTTGTTCGGTGCCTGGAACAGTCTGTTGTCCACATCAAACTTGCCTGTAAAGCTTGTACTTTGTATTTGTACTTCTCCATCAGCGCAAGTCTG